GCGCTGCGTCGACGGCCGCCTGCCGCTCCAGCGGGCGCGCGCGCCGTACCGACGGGCGCGCCGCGCGCGTGCGCTCGGTCTGCTGGATCGCGCGCGCGGCCGTGTTCGGTGCGAGGTCGACGAGGTGCTCCATGACGTCGGAGAGCGCCGGCGGGTCGTGCAGGACCGCGGGGATGCACGCCTTTAGCTCCTCGCACACGAGGAACAGGACGCCGCCCTCGTTCGCCGCGAGCGCGTCGCTGAGGTCCGCGCGCTGCGCGAGGCACTGCAGCACATGCCGCGTCAGCGCGAGGCGCAGGAACGACGGGAGCGTCGTGCTCGTCACGTACATGCTGGGCCAGGCGCCCGGCGCGGAGAGATAGTGCGAGGCCGCATGCAGCGACACACGCAGCGCCACGTCTTCCTTGTCGTACGTGCCGAGGTAGATGTCGTAGTCGGATGCGTCGATCGCATCGTTCTCCGGCACGCGGCGCACCACGTCGTCGCCGAGGCACGCGGCGAGCATCGTGCGCTCGTCGTCGCGCTTCTGCGCGACGGCCTCGTCGCCCGCACAGAGCGACAGGACAGGCGCCCGCGCGTCGCCGGCGAGCTCGTGCAGCAGGACATCGAGCACGGCGCCCTCGCGAGCCGCCTGGGGCTCGCGGACGCCGGCGCTGCGCACCATGTCGAGCGCGCGCGCGACATTCTCGCGCGGGAAGCCCGCGCAGCGCGAGAGCTTGTCGATCGTCCACCGGTCGACGAGGCCCTCCTGCGAGACGCCGCCGCTCGCGGCGCCGGTGACAAACGAGTCGGACGACGCGGTCGGTCGCAGCTTCGGCGGCAGGTCCTGCTCGGGCGTGAACAGGACCATGTACTCGATCGCCGCCTCGCGGTTCGGCAGCGCGAGGATCGATGCGAGGAGCGGGTGCGCCGCGCGCAGCTGCTCGAGGGCGTCGGGCGACGCGTACTGGGCGCGCGCCTCCTCGAGCCACGCCAGCACCCGGCGCACATACGCGGCGCGCACGCCGAGGCGCAGGAGCTCGCGCTCGAGCGCGGGCGTATCGACGGCCATGTGCTGCACGCCGCGGTCGAGCGCGTCGACGTCCGACGCGACGGCGTCGCTGAGGCGCGCGCGGATCGTCGACTCGACGAGCTCGCGCAGGGCCGGCGCCATACGCACCTCGGGCGCCCGCTGCCACGCCTTGCTGAGCGGCGGCGCCGCAGGCTCGCTCTTCGCGGCCTCGCGCGCGGCCCGCGCCTTTTCGCGCGCGGCCGCCTCGGCGTCGCGCTTCGCGATGGCCTCGAACGGATCCGACGCCCACTTCCAGCTATCGCTCTCGGGCGCCTGCGCCTTGACCTGCTCGAGCTCCAGCCAGTACTCGCGTGGGCCCGGCGGGAGCACGCGGTGCAGGCCGAGCTGGTTGAAGAGGCGGAACAGGACGTACGTCGCGCCCCAGTGCTTCGCGTGCAGACTCGTCTCGCACTGGAGCCGCGCGCCCGGCTCTTTCGGCTCCATGCGCACCGTATGGGGATTCGAGCGGTCCTGCTTGTTCTCCTTGCGCAGCGTAATCACACACGTATACCCGTCCTTGCGGTGCACCGGCTCGACCTCGGGCTTGAGCCAGCCTGGCAGCTTCTGGATGCGCTCATACATGAGGTTCAGGGGGGTCTTGTACCGCGGGGGAAACAGCTGCGCCGTCCCATCCTTGTTCGTGCCTGTAGGCGGCGGCGGCTTGGCCCCGCCGCCCTTGACCCAGTCGGGCAGCGGCGCCGCCTTGGACGACGTCGCCCCGCTCGACTTGATCGCCGCATTCTTCTTGCGAGGCGGCATGGCAGAAGTGGAGATCGACTACGTGCTATACAATGTCCAGGCACGCCAGGTCGACACCGACACGCGCCTTCCACATGAGCTCCTTGTACCGGATGACCTCGGCCCACAGACTCTCTTCCCAGGACAGGTGGGCGCGGTCGGACGGGGCGGTAAAGGTGTCTCGGCTCGGTACGGCGGCGCCAGGCCGCGCAGGGAGCACGGGTGGCTGCGGCGCGCCTTCGAGCGCATCGGCGTCGGCGTGATCCTCCAGCGCCTCGTTGAAGACCTCGAGATCGTCGCGCTCCTCCTCCGTACCAGCGGGCCCCTCCGCCTCGGTCGCCGGGCCCTCCGCGGCCTCGGCATGCTCCGGCTCCCCGCGCGCGGCTTCCTCGGCTGGCGTCTCCTGGGTGTCCTGTGTCTCACTTTCCTTCGCCGTCTCAGCCGCCTCTGTCTCAGCATGCTCCTCGGTGGCCTCGCTAGGCGCCGCCTTCGCGTGCTCCAACGGCGCCGGCGCGTGTGCTGCCGTCTCGAGATGCGCCGCTTGCACAGACGGCCGAGGCGCGGACGGGGGCAGAATGCGCGTCTGCCCCACAAACTCCGGCTCTACCTTGCCCTCCAAGACAATGGCGCGCTCGAGCGTGCGCACAAATGTCCAAAAAGCGCACACCACGCGTAGACGCTGTAAGCAGTGGTGCGAGCACATCAGGTGCCGGCTTGTCGCGTGGTCCGAAAGGCGGAAGTAGTGTGTGGGGATGGGCAGCGGCTCGGTGCGCATGAGTGGCTCAGGGTCTTGCGAAAAGATCTCGTCGCCTTCCCTGACCTCCTGTGACCGGTCAGACGGCGCGCCTGACTGGCCCCGGTCCAGTCCGCGGCGCAGCGACTGGAAGATCGACGGGAGGCTGCGCCGGCCCTGCCCGTCCTTGAGCGGATTCGGCCATGAGCTGGACGGCGCCGAAGCCCCGGGCAGCAGCGCCGTCACATTCAACAGAGGCGCGCTGCACAGCGAGCACGACGCGGGAGGCAGCGCGCCATACTCGGCGCGCAGCGCCGCCTCATCGGGGATCTGCCCGCCTGGGAACAGCGGCTCGATGACCACATCGCCATCCATAATGGCGCTCGTCGCCTGGCGGCGAGTCAGCCAGTTGAGCCCCGGTGCATGGCTCAGGCGCAGGCACGGATCCGCATCCTCATCTTGTACGCGCCGAAGAAACGGCAGCGTCGTCTGGGACGAGAGCTGCACCAGGTGTTCGGCCGCCAGCGGCAGGTGGGGGTAGTCGCGGTGCCGCAGCACCGAGCCCGACTGGTGGACCGATGGCGAGACCACGCCGCCCGTCGTGAGCGACGCTGAAAGGGGCGCCAGCGTCGTCCAGTCGACGCCGCGGCGGTGCATGTCAAAGTAGGGTGCGAGCTGGTCGTGCAGGCCGCGCAGATGGCTGAGGAACTGCAGGAATTCCACATAGGCCGGGATATTGACCGTGATCGTGGGAGGCGCCACAGGTGGTGGGGGCGCTGCCACGGCGGCCACTGACGGCGACGCGTCGGGGGCACGGGCCCGCATAGCATCGACCTCGGCCTGCAGATTCTTGAGCACCTCTTGCTGGTCCTGCATGATCCGCTCCGTGTCCCGCAGACTGACCTCCAGCTGCTGGCTCTTTTCCTCGGCCTTAGCGCGCGCAAGTCGCTCCACGGCCACCATGGAGTTCGCCTCGTTGAACAGCGCAGCGCTGAGCTCCTCCAGCTCCGCTTCGATGCGCGTCTTGTCACTTTCAGCCTTGCCGCGCTGCGCCGTCTCCTCGACAACGCGCTCCATCATGCGCTGCATCTCAGACGTGACATGCGCCTTCTCAACAAGCAGGCCCGTGTTCATCGCCGAAACGTACTGGTCACGCTCCTTGCTGAGCTCCGCAAGGCGGGTCGTGTGGACAAGAATGCGGTTGTGTGCCATACTCAGCTCGTCCTCCAAGTCCGACATGCGGTTGATCGAGTCGACCAGCTTGGCATTCAGACCGGTGACCTGGCTGCGCAGCTCCGCCTCGCGCTCCTCGGCAGACATGCGCTCCAGCAGGTCGGGCCGAGGCTCGGGCTGGGGCGCCTCCCCAGCGGGAGGCGGCACCGCCCCGTGGTCGTCCGCCGGCGGGGCTGGCGGAGCGCCCGTCTCTTCGGGCACCGACACACCCTCCGCCTCGGCCTCTCTCTCCGCGCTATTCTCGCGGATCTCCCGAGGCGCGTCCACCGCCTCGGACGCCTCGGGAGAGGGTGCCCCTGTCGTAGACGCCGGCGCTGCCTCACCCGTCTTTTCGTCGGCAGGGAGTGCCGTCTGTGGCTCCTGCGCGGGTTCACTGGAAGTCGGTTTCTTTCGCTCTTGCGACGCGGCCTTGGCGGCCTGGCGCTGCTTCCCGCCCTTCGCCATCGCGGTCGCACGAAGCTACACCCGAGCCTAGGCACCATGCGGCCTTTCCTATTAGTCATCGTCCGTCCTACAGTTCACGTCCTCCACATCCAGCAGACGCGCCAGTTGCGCCGTCGAGGTATTGGCCTGCAAGTCAGTGACCTCGAACAGGGCCGAGGCCTTCGAGGGGCCATGGCTCGAGGACCACCCTTCCTTTCGTGCATATGCCGCTGCGCTGCGATCCAACAGCTGGTCTAAATCCGCGGCTGAGAGGAGTGGCTCGTCGTCCGATGCGCCGGGGCCAGCGACTTGCATCACGTGTGCCTCCAGGCCCTGCAGCCCCCCGTCGTCTTGGGTGTCCGGATCATGGTACCCGTCGTACGTAATGGGGCGGAGGAATTTGCCTTTCTGAATGACCACCGCCTCTAGAAGTCGCTTCGCCTTGGCCTTTTGCAGGATATCATGCTCAATAGTGCCCTGTGCCACCAAACGAAATACTAGCACCGGCTTGGTCTGGCCAATCCTGTGGGCACGGTCCTGTGCCTGTAGATCCACTTGCGGATTCCAGTCACTGTCGAAGAAGATCACCGTGTCCGCCCCCACAAGATTGATACCCAGGCCACTGGCACGCGTGCTCAGAAGGAACAGATCTCGGCCCTCTTTCCCCTCATTGAAGGCGCGCACCTGGTCCGCACGGTCCTGCTGCGAGGTCGTGCCATCAATGCGGTAAGGCTGCCATCCTTTCAGATCTGTGGCCCAGAGCTCCAAAATGTCCAGCATCCCTGTAAACTGAGAAAAGACAAGCACACGGTGTTTCCGCGCAAAGAGAGCATCCAAGAGAGTGTCGAGCATGCGCATTTTTCCACACACTCGCACCATATTGGCGTCAATACACAGCTGGTCGGTGCCCGGCACCACGGGCCAGTGGAGCAGGTAGGGATGGCAGCATATTTTTCGGACTTGCATGAGGGTATTATCGAGGCGCATAGCCCGCACTTCCTTGTCCGCCAGCTTGAACGGCGCAGGGAGGGTATCTGGGTCGGTCTGCTGCTGAAGTCGGCTCACTTCCTCAAGAGGAAGACTCGCTTTACGTGCAAGCAGCCATTCTCTCAGAGTACTGCTGAGTGCCCGATTGTACATGAACGTCTGTTGCAATGATAGGGGCGTGTACAGCAGGTACTCCTGCTTGGGTGGTAAATCGCGCTCGACTTCATGCTTGACCCGCCGCAACAGAAAGGGCTTGAGAATCTCATGGAGCTGTCTCACGACCCGCTTCGCCGTGTCGGTGCTCCAGCTGGCGAAGCCCGCGGAGATGGACCCATTCTCCTCACCCGCGTCCTCCAAGTGGAACCATTGCTCGAACGTAGCGAGATCATCAAATATATCCGGCAGGATGAAATTCAACAACGACCATAACTCCGCCAGGTTGTTGTGCAAAGGCGTGCCTGTGAGAATGAGACGATTGCTGGAGTCCAGCTGCTTCAGTTCTCGCACTAGCTTGCCATTCAGCTTCTTTAGGCGATGTCCTTCGTCAACGACCATGTACTTCCAAGATTGTCGCGCTAGAAACGGGCGATCACGAAGAACAATGTCATAACTCGTAATAATGACAGCTGCTTTCTTGGCCTGGATCGATTTTTGCATACGCACACGCTCCTGTTTCGTGCCATGATACAACAGCACCGGAATACTGGGTGCGAACCTACGTTAGGACATGCTCACACATACTTGGCAAACTCGTCGGCCCAGTTAGACGTCGTAGACAATGGTGATACAACCAGAAAGGGGCCTATCACATTCTTCTCATACAAATGGGCTAACAATGCAATCGTCTGGATCGTTTTCCTGGAGTCAGACGTCTCTACAAACCCCAGGCCCATCTCATCAGCTAGGATGCCATTTAATCCGTTCTCGTACAGACTGGTGAGCCAAACAAGCCCGTCCATCTGATAGGGCTTGAGCTTCGCGCCAGTCAATAGAGAGGGCTGTTCACGTCGAGCCATTTCCGTCAATGATGCGGGCCCCTCGGTGCGCGCGCGCTTGGCGGGGGGAGCCGCCTCACGACGCTTCATAAGCTTGTCACCCATAACGCGCGAGTAAATGCTGGACCTCTGGAGCAGAAGATCTAGCTTCCTGACCCGCTTTCGTCAGTTTGAGTTACGCACTTCATCCTGCTCAGACGCTGCCGCCCCCGACACCAAAGTCGCTGCCATAAAGAACATCACGACGCGTCGCGTCACGGTAGAGTTTGCTGACTAATTAACTAGAGAACATCGTCTCAGACCAGCGCCGCCAGATGTCAGTCGGCGGCAAGCGATACCCCGAAGGGTCCTGTGTCGAGATAGAGAGGGGCATAGGCATAGGTCGCATCCAGTGCAGTTCCGTGGTAGTTAGGTTTGCAAATGCATATCGAGGTGGCACACCAGCCATACTGCGCTTCTTTTCTTGCATTGGCGGCTGCTTGGCCCACAAAGAGGCCAAATATTGCCTGTCACTCAATTCTTGTGGCGTTAATTTAGGCGCAGGTGGGCGGCCTCTTTTTCGTATGGGTTGTGCTTCAAACTTGATGCCCTGCCGGTAGGCGGGAAGGCCAAGCGAGAGGAGCCTCGTACGGTATAGATCCTCATTGGACTGCCGTGGCGCAAAAGATTGGTGAACAGGCCCGGCTGGCGGCGTCATACTCGCAGGTACTTTATTTCTTGTATGTTCCACAGATTCAAGCTTGCGCTTAGATGCAGACTCTGGCTTGTTGACTTTGACCTTGTGTGGGCCCGGTGGTCGAGGTTTCGTGACCTGCTTGGCGGGTTGGATGGCAGCGTTTGGCACCGGCACATCTGTCTCTTTATGATCCTTTTTGTGTAGAAACTCGCCACTTTGTACCTTTTTTGCGATATCATATAGATTGCGCTTATCCATGCGCTGTTCCTGGGACATCGACAGTGATGCTCTTCGACTGGGACGTCTGTCGCGACCCTGGTCCAGAGATTGTATAGCATTGAGAATGGTAGTCACTGCATGATCAAACTTTTGTGGGGGAAGCCCAGAAGCCCGTTGCATGTCCTGTCGGGTGATTTCTGAGTTGCCCAGTCTGGGTGAGAAGGCTCCACGTACTTGTCGGCCGCTAGCCACACACAGACAGCAGGAATGCCGACATGTACATCCTGCACGCTGCGCGCATTCCCTTGCATTTCCCATATATTGACTCGGTCCATGTACAGGCGTGCCTGATCACGTACATCACGGCAGCCCTTGCACAGAGCCACCAGAGGCGCCGCCATCGGTCGCGGAAGCGTAACACCTCCACAAAGCTCTGTCGGTTTCCGCTCGCCGCCAGATCGACGCACTGGGCGGCCGCCACAGCAGGCGCACGTTGGGTGTCGACTGCTAGAATGAAGTTTTACATCGATGATTTACCGGTTCTATTTCCATACCCTAAGATTTATCCGGAACAATATGCCTATATGGTCGATTTGAAACGCACTTTGGATGTCAAAGGACATGGTGTGCTAGAGATGCCGTCAGGGACGGGAAAGACCGTTTCTCTTCTGAGTTTGATCGTCAGTTATCAACGTGTATGTGTATGAAACTGACCTCAGTTCTATCCAGGCAGTCGCAAGCTTATCTACTGCTCACGAACGGTGCCAGAGATTGAGAAGGCGCTAGCGGAGCTGAAGCGTCTCATGGTCTACCGAGCTAAATACAACACGAAACCCCGTACCACTAGCGGAGAAGAGCCTATGGATGTGGATTCGGAAAGCAGCGAAGGCCAGATGGAAGACATTCTTGCTATTGGTCTTAGTAGCCGCAAGAATATGTGCATTCATCCAGTGGTGAGCCAAGAACGGAAGGGCAAGGTCGTGGATGCTAGGTGCCGAGATATGACCAGTGCGTGGGCCTGCGAAAAAGGGCGACAGAACCCTGGCTCTGTCGAATTATGTGACTTTCACGAGGTACGTCAGACTTCGCTCAAATCAGGAACTTGGAAAGCTGGAACCGGGCCAACTTGTACCACCCGGCGTCTGGACGATCGAAGAGGTGAAAGAGTATGGACGAGACAAGGGCATTTGCCCATATTTTGCGGTTCGCCGAATGATGCCCTTCTGTGATATTATCATTTACAGTTTCCATTATTTGCTGGATCCCAAAGTGGCCGAACAGGTTAGTAAGGAGATGAGCAAGGATGCAATTGTGGTGTTTGATGAAGCGCACAACATTGGTACGTACAAGAGTCTAAGACAGACAATGTATGCATAGAGTCGCTCAGTATTGACTTGACGCGGCCTGTTCTTGACAATGCGTATCGATGCATCAACCAGCTAGCCGATAAGGTGGATGAAGTGAAAAAGGTGGACGCAGCGAAACTGCAAGACGAATATCTTCGGCTGGTCGAAGGGCTGCAGCAGCAAAGCGATGATCGCGAAGCAGAGTCGTTCCTTGCCAATCCCGTGCTGCCGGATGATCTTCTTCAGGAGGCAGTGCCCGGCAACATTCGGCGGGCAGAACATTTTGTGGCGTTTCTGCGCCGTTTTGTGGAATACTTAAAGACACGTATGCGTGTCTTGCATGTGGTGGCCGAGACACCCGCCAGTTTCTTGCAACATCTCAAAGAAATTACGTTTATCGAACGAAAGCCACTGCGGTTCTGTGCAGAGCGCCTCCGTATGTTGGTGCAAACGCTAGAGCTTACGCGCGTTGACGAATATTCCGCGCTCCAGACCGTGGCCTTTTTCGCGACGTTAGTGTCAACCTATGACAAGGGTTTTCTGCTAATTCTGGAGCCATTCGAGACAGAGCAAGCTACTGTGCCCAATCCCATTTTCCATTTCACCTGCCTGGATGCCAGTTTAGCTATCGCTCCCGTGTTTGAGCGCTTTAGCAGCGTGATTATCACCAGTGGTACGATTAGCCCCTTGGATATGTACCCGAAAATGCTTCGCTTTGACACGGTTGTGCAAGAAAGCTATACCATGACCCTCACACGACAGTGTTTCTTGCCTCTCGTGATTACACGAGGAAGCGATCAGGTGGCAATTAGTTCCCGGTTCGAAGTGCGCAATGACCCGTCTGTGGTCCGCAATTATGGCAATATCCTCATTGAATATTCGCGGTGTATTCCGGATGGTATTGTCGCCTTCTTCCCATCGTACCTTTATATGGAGAGCATTGTGGCTGCATGGCATGACATGGGTATTCTGGATGAGGTATGGAAGCACAAGCTTGTGTTTATCGAAACGCCGGATGCTCCAGAGACAAGCATTGCTCTAGAGAACTATCGGCGGGCCTGTGACAATGGACGAGGAGCTATCTTGCTGTCGGTCGCGCGAGGCAAGGTCTCCGAGGGCATCGACTTTGACCATAATTACGGCCGCGCAGTGGTCATGTTCGGTGTGCCATATCAATATACCGAATCGCGTATTCTCAAAGCGCGTCTCGAATTTCTACGGGATAATTTCCGGATCAAAGAGAATGATTTCCTGACGTTCGACGCGATGAGACATGCAGCCCAATGTGTGGGACGAGTCCTTCGCGGCAAGTCCGACTATGGTCTAATGGTCTTTGCGGACAAGCGCTTTGCGCGCTCGGACAAACGAGCGAAGTTGCCCAAGTGGATCGCACAGTACATTGAGCCTGTCTTTAGTAATTTGTCGACGGACATGGCGATTGTGGAAAGCAAGCGATTCATGCGCACCATGGGGCAGCCGGTGCCCGAGGGCAAGAATGGTATCAGTCTATGGGACGTCGAAGATATTGAACGTCGTCAGCAGAAAGAGAAAGAGGCCTTCGAAAAGCTCATGCTAGCTGAGAGCGATGCGTGGGTAGAGAAACATCAACAGCAAGACGCCTCTCAAGAGCCGCATGCCCTGGCCGACGAGTTTGACGAAGAGTTTGGTACGGGCGCGGAGCTAGCTCAGGTGGCCGCGCCTTAAGGTCACTGCCGGCTCCACCTGTCACTGGCTGCCAGGCTGCTCAACCTGCAGCAGATTAGTCATCACTAGGTTAGAACGTGCAGTAGAAAATTGCTGAAAAAAAAATCGGAGGCCCGCTCGTATAAAGGGAGCGGAGGCCCCCATTTCTTCCATCGCTAGCCCGACAGCGCATTCATCTATAATGCCGCCTAAGAGTGCTGAAGGTACGGCGCATGTAGACGCCAAAGACTTTAAGAACTCGGCCGTTGCCGAGGCCGCCGCTGCCGGTCCTGAGCAGGAGGTGAAGGCCGCCCTGTTCGACGAGGCCCAGCTGCTCTCGACGGGTGACAAGAAGGCCGCCGTCGAGCTGACCAACCTGGTCAAGATTGAGGGTCCCTTTGCTCTCCGCAACCTTGGTATTGAGGACGTGATCAAGAAGGGTCTTACGGACAAGAAGAACGCCGCGGGCCGTGAGGGTGCGGCGATCCTTCTTACCACCCTGTTTGAGGAGGGTGTCGGCCACGAGGTTGAGCCCTTCCTGATGAACGGCCTCTTTGAGACCCTCGTGGAGGCGATGGGTGACAAGGAGAAGGTTGTCCGCCAGCGTGCTGAGGACGCTCTTCTGCTCGTTATCCGCAACATGGCCACCTGGGGTGTGCCGCAAGTGATGAAGACCCTGCTTCACCAGATGCGCACTGCCGGTAAGTGGCAGGTGAAGATGGGCTGCATCCGCCTTCTCGAGGAGCTCGTTCAGATCTGCCCTGACCTGGTGGCCCGCATGATGACCGACATCATCCCTGTTATGGCGGAAGTCATCTGGGACACCAAGTCGGACGTCCAGAAGTCGTCGCGTGCCGCGCTCGAGAAGCTCTGTGCTCTGGTGTCGAACAAGGATATTGAGCGCTTCATTCCTGCTCTGATCCAGTCGCTCATCCACCCCGTCGAGGAGGTGCCCAAGACCATCCAGCTGCTTTCGGCCACCACCTTCGTGCAGGAGGTCGACTCGCCGACCCTGGCGCTGATGACGCCCCTGCTGTCGCGTGGTCTGAGTGAGCGCCCGACTGCCACGAAGCGTAAGGTGGCCGTCATTATCGACAACATGTCAAAGCTTGTCGACAACGAGCGCACTGTGCGCCCCTTCCTGCCCAAGCTGCTGCCTGGTCTGATCAAGATCGAGACCACCATGTCGGACCCTGAGGCCCGCAGCGTTGTGCAGCGCGCTATCAACACCCTGCGCCAGGTCGGTAAGGTTGAGGGTGATGGCTCGAATGTCAAGCCGCTCGAGGACGTGGACCTGGACAAGACCCTGGAGCTCGTTACCAAGCAGCTCCAGGAGAAGCAGCTTGACGGTCCCGAGTCCCTGGTGCACTACATTGCCCAGATCGTGACCAACATGGCCAACTACCGCATGTTCGAGACCGACGAGTGGCAGAACGCGCTCACCCGCTACCTGCGTCTCCTGCGTCCCTCGGACCAGCAGAAGTCGGAGGCCATTGTCGGTGAGCTCCTCAAGGCGCTGGCCAAGAGCACCGGTGAGGAGGTGGAACAGTTCGACGACGAGGAGGAGGGCGAGGACCTGTGTAACTGTCAGTTCTCGCTGGCCTACGGTGCCAAGATTCTGCTGAACACCGCCACCCTGCGCCTCAAGCGTGGCCACCGCTACGGTCTCTGTGGTCGTAACGGTTCCGGTAAGTCGACCCTGATGCGCGCCATCCAGAACGGCCAGGTCGAGGGCTTCCCGTCGCCTGAGGAGGTCCGCACCTGGTACGTCGAGCACGACCTCGACGGCTCGGAGGGTGACATTTCGATTCTGGAGTTCATCCTGCAGGACAAGCGCCTGAACGTCGACCGCGAGTCGGCCGCCAAGACGCTGGCTGAGATGGGCTTCGACGAGCAGCGTCAGGCCGGTCCTATCACGGCCCTGTCGGGTGGTTGGAAGATGAAGCTCGCCCTGGCCCGTGCCGTGCTGTTCAAGGCCGACATTCTGCTGCTCGATGAGCCGACCAACCACTTGGACGTGATCAACGTGGCCTGGATCACGAACTACCTGTGCACTACGAACGCCACCTCAATCATTGTGTCGCACGACTCCAAGTTCCTGAACGACGTGTGTACCGACATTCTGCACCTGAACCGCTTCAAGATCAAGCGTTACCCCGGCAACCTGGACGCCTTTGTGAAGCGTGTGCCGGAGGCTCGTGCCTATGTCGAGCTGAACTCGGGCGAGGACTACTCGTTCAAGCTGCCCAACCCCCCGCTGCTGGACGGTGTCAAGACCAAGGAGAAGTCGCTCGTGAAGATGCGTGACGTGGTCTTCCAGTACCCCGGCACGCCGGCGCCGCAATTGCGTAGTATCTCGATGCAGCTGTCGCTGTCGTCGCGTGTGGCTGTGCTGGGTCCCAACGGTTCGGGTAAGTCGACGCTGGTGAAGCTGGTGGTCGGTGACACGGAGCCCAACTCGGGTGAGCTGTGGAAGCACCCTAACCTGGTCATTGGTTACGTTGCCCAGCACGCGTTCCACCACATTGACCAGCACCTGGACAAGACGCCGCTGGAGTACATGCTCTGGCGTTACCAGACCGGTGAGGACCTGGAGGAGCACATGAAGGCTACCCGCAAGCTCACCCCCGAGGAAGAGGAGGCGATGAAGCACGGTGCTGTCTACGAGCACGAGGGTGTCAAGCGCATCATTGACGACATTGTCGGCCGTAAGAAGCTGAAGAACTCGTTCCAGTACGAGGTGTCGTTCAAGAACATGAGCTCGGCGGACAACCTCTGGCTCAGCCGTGACGAGCTGTTGCGCCGCGGCTTCGAGAAGAAGATCATGGCCGTCGACTCGCGTGAGGCGCAGAAGGCCGGTATGCTTCGTCCTCTGGTCCGTCGCGAGATCGAGAAGCACTTTGAGGACTTTGGTCTCGAGCGTGAGTTCACCTCGCACAACACGATGCGTGGTCTTTCGGGTGGTCAGAAGGTCAAGGTCGTGCTCGGTGCTGCGACGTGGCGTATGCCCCACATCATCGTGCTGGACGAGCCGACGAACTTCTTGGACCGTGAGTCGCTGGCTGCCCTGATTGCTGCCATCCAGAACTTCGAGGGTGGTGTGGCGATCATCACCCACTCGCAGGAGTTCTCGGAGGGCACTTGCAAGGAGATCTGGCGTATGCAGGACGGTACCCTGCACGCCTCGGGCCACAACTGGGTCGAGGGCCAGGGCTCGGGTGAGCGTATCGACAAGAAGAAGAACGACGAGGAGGAGGTCAAGTTCGACGCTCTCGGCAACAAGATTGTCGAGGAGAAGAAGAAGAAGAAGCTCACCTCGGCGGAGGCCCGTAAGGCCAAGAAGGAGCGCATGGCCCGCCGCAAGCGCGGTGAGGAGGTATTCTCGGACGAGGAGCTGTAATGTGCTTAAAACCATGTACTGCGTAGCCGAATTCTGTCGCCTCGATAGTGACATGTAAGCAATGCCATGGGTTTCTCTATATCATAGGAATATGACGAGGGCGAGCCAATACGAAAAGAGGCTCCCCAGGACAATCCCGCCCGCCGTGGCCGCGACATGCCCTCCCTGTGGCGCAGGGGACGGATTTACCTGCTCCCACAGATGCTGAGAGTACCTGCCCCAAGCACGCAAGTAGGACATCCAAGCGGCCAGCCAAGATGGCAGACGCCACGAAGAAGAGGCGGGGGCGGAGGCCGTAGCAGGGGCCTCTTGACCAGACAGCAGCCGCTCCAAGCGGGCCAGGCGGGCATCCACGGATGTGACAGACGCGTGGATACGGTCCCGTGCCTCCTCTTCGCCTGCAATCAGGCGTCGTTCAAGGGTCTGCGCAAGTTTGCGGCGCTTGTACGGCTCCACGAGAAACAGAGCGAGAATGAAAATCAGCACGTTGAGTACGCCCAACCCGATACTCACGCAGGTGCTGACGCTTCGCACACGGTCGCTCCACAGGTGCTCTTCGTGGTACCGGCGCATGACGCAGCGTATGAGATCGTCAAAGCCACGCTGCATTTCGCGCTCGGCATGCTCATACGCATGTTGACTGCTTTCTTCCGCTTTAGCAAAGCTGTGTTCCGAGTGCAAGAGCTTGGTATATTCTAGCAGGTCGCTGTCATTCCACGTGGGCTTGCGCGAGAGAATGTCATTGACCTTGCGCTGCAGCGCGGAGCGCTCCGCGACAGCGTCAATATACACGCGCTTGGCGTGCTCCTTCTCCTCTTGGAGCTCCGTGAGTCGATCGGCTGTGGTCAGGGATAGGACACATACACTGCAACTGCACCTGTTCCTTAAGCGCATGGATCTCTGTATAGCCCGAGTAGTCGTTCCACTTGTGGCTCAGCTCGCTGAGCCGACTGCTCGCGACTGGCTTCGTTTTCTCGACCCAAGCGTGCAGCTTGTTTTGCCACGGCTGCACGAGACGCTGCATCAGCGACGGTGGGGACGACGAGCTGTAGCATCTCGTGGATGATATCTGAGGCACTGGAGCCACGGGCCTACCGTACACAACACATGGCCGCAGACGCGCCAGGGACCCGCCCCACTTCATGGCGTGTGCAGAAGGATGGGGCACGGACGCTGCTGCACCGCGTGGCACCACGTGGCCTGTGTTGGACGCGGCGCGGCGGCGCGTCGACGTCGCGCGATTGCCACCACGCTGCCGTCATGTCGCAAGCCATTCCGCTCACCAACTCCTCGCAAATGTCCAGTCGGGCCAACCAGGAGGTCCGCATCATCGGACGAGTGATGAAGGTACGCGCAGAGAGACTCACTGCAGGTGTCTGGCGACATTCTCCTCCTGGAAGCGTCGGACCGCGGCACGGTGGAAGTCAAATTGCAGATGGTGCGTGGCCGCAGACTGACGCGGCAGGATCAGACGCCTACTTCACAATACGTTGAAGTCATTGGGCGCGTTTCGCGGACAGGTGACTCGGTCACGCAGCACGCCCTACTCTCGCTGGGGGACAACTTGGGTAGGTGCCTGCCACTCACCGCAGATCTCAGCTTGGTGGAACACTTGGTGGTCCTTACACCGCAATACCCGACCCTGTTTTCTGAGTAGGTACAGCTGTAGCACACGGTTCTCGAGACATGCTTAGTCAGGGAGCTTGACGTCCCGCCATCGTCTGCGAATGAGCCGCCTTCCAGACGACGACGGGCCGCCGCTCTCGGCGCGAGACAAGAAGGGCCTGACGTACACGCAGGAGACGCCGAGTTTCCTGCGCCGACTTCATGCGCAAGTGCGTGGGACGCACTTTGAAGATACCGCGCGGCGCGAACGCACGCGTGGCAACGACACAGACGATCCGCTGCTGGAGTGGATGGCGCCAGATGCGAGGCGCGCAGACCAAGGCAGAAGCAGAGAACGAGATGAATACCACAGCGATGACGATCTCGCGCATGCCCAAGTCGTCGTGCTCAAAGAGGGCAAGCATCTCACCAAGGAAGACTATGACAGAGAAAGGAGCCTAGCGCCCAACGCAGATCCTAGCGCTCCGCATACAGAGCGCACGACGCAGCCTGTGGCTGAGGCGGGCGGCGCCGCACATCAGCGCAAGAGTGCCTCGCGGATCGCTGGGCCGAGGCACAGCAAGACGGTGATGCATGATGCGAAGAAATGGATCCATGAGAAACGAAATGAGCTACGAGAGTCTACGCCAAAGGCCTCCAAGAAGAAGCGGGCACGGCCGCCCGGTGCTGGACTTAGCTTTAGTGTAGACGAGGAATAGGCTTCGAGCGAGCGACATCTCCGTGGAGCATATCCAGCGGAGGCAGATCGGCCGGCCAATCAGCGGAGGTGCGGCATGTAGCTTCCTCCGCTTTCAGAACTACGCGCCAAGCGTTGCTCTCGATACCATGTTGGATGGGTTTGTAGATATCCCTTCGCGCCTGAATGGCAGCGATCCATCACTGCCAAAGGCACATATTGATGAGATCACATACCCCACCATGCACCACCGCTCCGTGACCGAAAGCGAAGCATTCTGGGCGGAGCAGGCCATCGAAATTCTATCGTGGGATGTGCCTTTCCGCACGATCCACTACGGTGGCTTCGAGAAAGGTGACATGTCGTGGTTTCTGGAAGGCCAGCTCAATGCCTGTTACAACCTTGTCGACCGATGGGCGTTTGAGCGCCCCAACGACGTCGCGCTCATCTGGGAAGCCGACGAGCCGGGCCATCACCAGTATGTCACCTTTGCCGATCTCCTGACCCGCGTGTGTCAATTTGCCGGTGTCTTGACTTCGCTGGGCGTCAGGAAAGGCGATATTGTCGTCATCTACATGCCCATGGTGCCGGACACGGCAGCAGCGATGCTCGCTTGCTCGCGCATTGGGGCTGTACACTCAGTGGTTTTCGCGGGCTTTAGCTCAGAGTCACTGCGTGACCGTGTGCAGGACAGTGAGGCGCGTGTTGTGTTTACTACAGACGAGGGGCGGCGCGGTGGGAAGACGATCGCGACCAAGTCGATTGTCAACGCCGCGCTCAAGGAGTGCCCGACCGTGGAGCATGTCCTGGTCGCGAAGCGCACGGGGGCCGTGGATATCCCGTGGGTCGACGGCCGCGACAAGTGGCTGGACGATCTTGTGCAGATGCAGCGCACATACCTGCCCCCTGTGTCTGTGAGCAGCGAGGACCCGCTTTTTGTGCTGTACACGTCGGGCTCCACGGGCAAGCCCAAGGGCATCGTGCACAGCACGGCCGGCTACCTGCTGGGGGCCGCGCTGACGGTGCGCCATGTGTTTGATGTGCACCCTGGTGACCGGTTTGGATGTGTGGCGGACATTGGCTGGATTACGGGCCATACATACATTCTGTATGGTCCGCTGATGAACGGCACGACGACGCTGTTGTTTGAATCGACGCCCGCATACCCCACAGCGTCTCGCTACTGGGATGTTGTCGACACGCACAAGCTGACGCAGTTCTATACAGCGCCTACGTCGATCCGCCTGCTGCGCCGTATGGGCAGTGAGTACGTGGCCAAGCATGACCTGAGCTCGCTGCGTGTGCTGGGGAGCGTCGGTGAGCCGATCAACCCCGAGGCGTGGCACTGGTACAACGAGCATGTGGGCCGTGGGCACTGTGCGATTGTGGATACCTACTGGATGACCGAGGGCGGCTCGCACATGATCACGTCGCTGCCGGGAGCCATCAAGAGCAAGCCGGGGTCGGCGTCGAAGCCGTTCTGGGGCATCCAGCCTGTGCTGCTCGATCCACAGACAGGCGAGGAGCTGGAAGGAACGGACATCGAGGGTGTACTGGCCATGCGCAAGCCGTGGCCGTCGCTGGCGCGGACGATCCTGAAGGACCACCAGCGCTTCCTCGACACGTACATGCGCCCCTACCCCGGCTACTTCTTCACCGGGGACAGTGCGTACCGCGACCAGGATGGCTACATCTGGATTCGCGGGCGTGTGGACGACGTGATCAATGTGTCAGGCCACCGCATGTCGACAGCCGAGATCGAGTCGGCGCTGGTGGGCCACGCGGGTGTAGGCGAAGCGGCGGCCGTGGGGGCTCCTGACGAACTGACAGGCCAGTCGATCACGGCGTTCGTGGCCATGAAGCCGGACTATGAATGCGAGTCGCCCGAGACCCTGCTGAAGGAGCTGACTGGCCAGGTGCGGAGTGCGATTGGGCCGTTTGCGACCCCGAAGCGCATCATCGCCGTGGCCGATCTGCCCAAGACACGGAGCGGCAAGATTGTCCGCCGCGTCCTGCGCAAGATTGTATACAACGAGGCTGACCAGCTGGGCGACCTGTCCACGCTGCAAAATCCCCAGGTGGTGGACAATCTGATCGTACGTGACATGCATTGACACAGGCACAATTCGAGGCAGCGGCGAGCGGCCCGTAGGCGTCCGTAGCTGGGAAAGAACCGCAGGTTCCGATCGAGACCAATCTCATTGTGAAATACACACAGGCGACCGCCCAAGTTATGTCTAAAGCTTTTCCAGGTAGGCAAGGACCTTGTCGAGGTTAAAGTTCGGGTCCTCGGGGTTGAACACCACGGCGTCTGGGTGAGCGGGCGCGCACGTACCGTTAGCCGACGGAGCTGGCGCCTTGGCAGCCTGTAGCTTGGCATATTCTTCCTTGGCCTTCTTGATCAGGTCTTCCTGGTGCTTCGTGGCCTTCTGGTGGATGCGCTCATCGTACTTGGCCTGCAGCGACCGACGGTGCAGGATACCGTAGGCGATACCACCGACGAGGGCCGAGTAACGAACGACCTGTACGTCAGAACTTTGATCGTAGCTACGCACATTCACAACAGGCGAGGGCGACATGGTAGCTGCGCGGCAACAATCAGCGGGCGTCGAGGGCGCTGGCGATCCCAGCGCGGCGGCCTCTGCTTATACACCAGCTCGGTTGGGCCCGGCACGCGGTCTGCACGTGATGTAGTTCTCCGCAGCTGGTTTTTCTTCTCGGCTACCTAGTAGGCCGACGTGGAGGAGGTGCTGGCAGTCTCACACTCACGTCTTCTCGTCTCATCCAGCATGGTCGTTGATCAGGAGAAGCTCGCGAAGCTGCAGGCTGCTGCCCGCACTGGTGGCAAGGGTGCTCCCCGCCGCAAGATTGTGAAGAAGCCCAAGGGTGCCGTCGCTGGCGGCGAGGACACGAAGCTCCAGGGCGCGCTGAAGAAGCTGGCCGTGCAGCCCATGACCGGCATTGAAGAGGTCAACATGTTCAAGGAGGACGGCAACGTGCTGCACGTGGCCAACCCGAAGGGTGCGTACGTGCATACTTACAGCCAGTGCATGGTGCCGTGGCGTCCAACACGCTCGCCGTGTACGGCAAGGCCCAGGACAAGGAGCTCACGGAGCTGGTGCCCGGTATCCTGTCGCAGCTCGGCCCCGAGTCGCTCGCGAGCCTCCGCAAGCTTGCGGAGAGCTACCAGGCGATTAGCGCCCAGCAGGCCGGCGCGCAGAAGGGCGAGGATGCCGACGGCATCCCCGACGTGGACGGCAACTTTGACGAGGTCGACGGCAAGGCCCCCGAGTCGACGGAGGTGGACCAGCTCGACTAACTCTGCCAGGAGCGCACACCGGTATGGCCGTCTGTGCCGCCGTAGAAAAGCCGTGTAGCACCCTCGTATCTCCCTCGCAGCGAGCGCTGTCGCATGGGTGCGTCTATCGTACATCTACTCGTCGGTGCGCGCCACCTTGGCCTCCGACGTGTCGGCCTCCGCCTCGTCATCGGCGCGGGCGCGCTTGGCCGACGGCTCAGGCTCCGGCGCAGGGCCAGCACGCTCGGCGTGCTCCGTCTCGTAGTACTCGCCATCGGCGCCGCTGGGCGCCTTGTGCGCATCGATGGCGTCCTTGTCTTCGCGGTACACCTCCTCGCGGCGCTCGTGGCGCTCGCGCTCACGCTCCATCGCCTCCTGCCGCTTCTTTTCCTCTTCCTCGCGCAGCTTATTGTGGCCCCAGCCGCCGCGGCCGGCATCGTATTCCTGGCGGTACTCGTCGCGCACCTGGCCGCCAGAGCGCCCGCGGCCGTACTGGCGACCGTCGCGGTAGCCGGGGTCCAAGTCGCAGCGGATAACACGCTCGTCGAGCTTGGTGCCCGACACGAAGCGCATGCAGTCGACGGCCTCCTCGTGCGTATAAAATCTAGGTCAGTGGCCCCCACGTACTCGACGAACGCGAATCCACACGGCGTCTTGGTGTTGCGGTCGAGGCCCATGATAATTCGCTTGATGCCGCCGCCACCTACGACGTGCGTAACGCGCGCAAAGAGCTCGTACATTTGCTCCTCCGTCGTGTAAAACGAGAGGTTGCCAATGTACAGCGTCGAGCTCTGTGCGATCGCCATCTGCTGCTCAATCGCCGAGCTTCGCGCGCGCGAGTCGCGATCTGCGTGAGCCGCCGCAACGTACATGTGCTTGGCGCATTCAGGTGCTCAACAATGTGCGACATGGCGGGAGCCCAAGGTGGGTGGAGGAAATTCGCCCCATTGTCTCCATGGCGCCCGCCGCGGAGGCGTCTGCCGACGCCGCGCAAGTGCCGCTGGCGGAGGCGACCACGTCGCTGCTGGCCACGCAGTACGGCGCATGGTACCCGTGGCTGCGGCACCACTCGCCCAAGGCCGTCGTCATCGACGTGGATGAGGTAGAGCCCGCATTTGCGCAGTGGCTCGACGCAGATGGGCTCGCCCTCTCGGACGCGAACGACGACCACCGCGCACCGCGCACGGTCCCACGCGACGACGACGCCGAGGTGCTCAGCGAGCCCAGTGACGACGAGGACGAGCCGGGCGCCCACTTTCCGGCGCTCAGCGCGCGCATCGCCGAGGTCCTGCGTGACTTTGGCGCGGTCTTCCCGAAACTGAACTGGAGTGCGCCGCAGGACGCGGCGTGGATCATGCCGGGGCACACGCTCAAGTGCCAGACGCCGAATGACGTGTACCTCCTGCTCAAGTCGTCCGACTTTGCGATGAACGACCTTGCACAGCTGCGCGAGCTCCAAGCGGCGTGCGAGCGCGAGCAGCGCCCGGAGCGCCCGCGCCTGCAGCTCGTCCTGAAAAAGTGGTTCGAGATGCCGCGCTCGCACGAGTTCCGCTGCTTTGTGCTGGGCGGCCACCTCGTTGGCGCGTGCCAGCGAGACGTGACCTTCTACGAGCACCTGCAGGAGCCTGCCGTGCAGGCCCAGATCCAGCGCATGCTCGCTGCATGCTATCACACGCACATCGCGCCGCATGCGCCGCGGGACATCGTGTGGGACGTGTACCTGACGCGGCACCTCGACCGCGCTTTCGTGATGGATCTGAATCCGTGGCTGCCGCGCACGGACACCCTGCTATGGACGTTTGACGAGCTGCGCGCGGCGCCGGCGCTCGACCCGGTGCCGCTACGTGTGCTGACGTCGGCGGCGCAGGCGACGCAGGCCCTGCCGACCTACTCGGCGCACATGGTGCCGGCGGACGTCGTGGCGATGAGCCAGGGCCAAAGCATCGCGGCGTTTGCGCAGCAGTGGTCCGAGCAGATGCAGGGCGCCTGTGCCTCGTCCGACGAGGACGAGCCTAGTACCGCAGCGGCCCCTTGACGCGGGGGAAGCCCACGAGGTCCCGCACATGCTCGGTGTGCGTGACCCAGCTGAGCAGGCGCTCCATGCCGAGCCCAAATCCGCCATGCGGCGCGCCGCCGTAGCGCCGCAGATCGTGTGTGTACCAGTGCAGGCCGGAGGCCTGCAGACCTGCCTGCGCCATGCGCGTCCGCAGCATGTCGAGGCGCTCCTCACGCACGCTGCCGCCTACCAGCTCACCGACGCCGGGGGCGAGTAGGTCGAAGCACGCCACGGTGGCCTCCGTGGCGCCTGCGCGCGTGGGGTGCAGGTCGGGCGTCAGTGTCGTCCTGGCACAGTTCTCGCGCATGTAGAACGGCTTGCCTTCGGACGGATAGTCAGTCACAAAGACGGGCGACGCAAAGTGATCCGCGAGCCAGCGCTCATGCTCGGAGCGCAGCGAGTCGCCCCACGCAGGGGGCGCCGCATGGCGCTCGCGCAGGAGACGCACTGCCTCGGTGTACGATATGCGCGGCCACGGCTGCGTGAGCCATGCAGCGTGGGCCTCGGCGCCGAGGAACGCCATGTCGTCGTGCGCGCGCTCGCCGTCCCAGGCGGCGTGCAAGGCGCGCTTCAGCATGTGCTCTGTACAGTCCAGCACGCGATGCAGCCCGGCGGCGCCCGGCGGGAGCCAGCAGAACTCTGCCTCGCACATCCAAAATTCGGCGAGGTGCCGGTTCGTCGCGGAGCCCTCGGCGCGGAAGACGGGGCACAGCGTCCACACGCGCGAGAGGCCGAGTGCGAACGCCTCGAGGTGCAGCTGCGTCGACACTGTGAGGTACGCGTCGTGGCCGGACCAGAAGGCCGCCAGGCCGTCGCGCTGGCGCACGTCGGCGTCGGCGACGACGCGGAAGATTTCGCCGCCGCCCTCACAGTCCGACGCGGTAATGATCGGCGGGGCGACCTTGCAGAAGTCGTTCTCCCCGAACCACGTAGCGATCGCGAGCTCCATGCGCGCGCGCGTCCGGGCTATGGCCGCGAAGCGCGGCGTCCGTGCCTTGAGGTGCGATTCGCGGCGCACAATATCCACGATGGCCGAGTCGTGCGGCTGCGCGTGCCGCTGCATCACATTGGCGAGGGGGTACGTCGCGAGGTCGCAGTCGGCAAGCACGTCGACGCTGTCTGCATGCAGCTCGACGCGCTGGCTGCGCCGCTGGCCGCGCCCAGGCTTCATGGCGCCATGCAGGCACACTGCCTGCCCTGGCGTAACGTCGCGCACGTCGCCACTCAGCACGACTTGCAGGGTGGCGTCGCCGCCGAGAGTGCCGTCGTCCACCTCGAGGAACGTGCGGGTCTTCTGCCGCCGGGCCGAGACGACCCAGCCGTGCGCGGTGACGGGCGGCTGTGTGAGCTCGCGCCCCTCGTCCAGCACGCGCTCGGCGTCGCGGCGCAGCGCCGCGAGCGTCGGCGGCATGGCCGGCACCGAGAGCGCGCGCACGCCGAGCGCGCGCGGCACGCCGAGGCGCATCGCGCGGCGAAGGAGCATGCCGCGAGTCAAGGGCCATGATCACGTGCTACACGCTATGGAGCCGCGCGGGCGCGGCGGTCGAGCCAGTCCTGGACCTTGACGCGCACGCCCGGCTTGTGGTGCTTGTGGCGGGAAATCACGTCGAGCAGCTCGTCCGGCTCGAGCACGTAGCTGCCGGAGGCGGGGTGGCTGCCCTCGTACAGGGCCGCGAGCTCCGCCTCGCTTGGGAGCGCATGGGGGTTGTGCTGCGGGTGCCAGCGGAGCGGCCCCACGCCGCGCACCTCGGCATCGCGCGCCCTCCGTGCCTCGCGGCTCTTGCCGGTGTGTGGCACGTTCTCGAGCTTGAGGAGCTCGAGCTGCAGGCCCGCCTCGCGCGCCTTGCGGTAGTCGCCGAAGAAGAACGTGTCGAGGTACTCGTCCGTCACGTCCTCGAGGCGCGCCGGGTCCCACGGCGGCGTGCCTGTGCGGCGCTTGCCGGTCTTGGGGTCCTTGCCCAGCACAAAGTTGACGCCCGTGTAAAAGTCGCGGCCGATCGACAAGTCGCAGAACGACGTCGAAAGCTGTATGGTCATGTGCATGTTCTCCGTGAGCGTCTGGTCGCGCGCGCGCTGCAGGCCGCGGAGCGTGACTTTGAGCGCGCGGGGCGAGCGCTCACGCAGGGTGCTGGCCGTGTCGGCGGCCCACTGTGCGATCTCGTCGGTGAGCGCCGCGCCGCGCGCCTGCAGCTCCTGCGCGACAGGCGCATCCGTGTGGCGCTGCGCGAGGTCGTCGAGCGCGACCATGATCTGCTCGACGGTCGGGCGGCTGAACGCCACGTCCATCGCGATGCGGCGGTCGCCCAGGAACGCGGAGGTGCGCAGCAGGCTCGGGTCGTCCTCGAAGGGATCCGACGCGTACTCCTCGATGGCCTCGAGGACGGCCTCCTCGTGCACGGCGGACGCCATCGGCATCGAGCTGATGCGGCGCAGCATCTCCTCCACGGAGCTCGAGCGCACATAGTGCGTCGCGAGGCCCGTCAGGTAAGTGTCGGCGCCGCCGAGCCGCTGGCCCGTGAGGGCGAGGTACGTGCCGACCGCGCCGTCGAGGCGCGAGAACGTGTAGAGCAGGCCGACGTCGGGGAAGTAGCCGATGGCCGTCTCGGGCATGGCCCACAGCGTGCGGTCCGTCGCGATGCGCACGGGGCCGTGCACGGTCATACCGACGCCACCGCCCATGACGATACCGTCCCACAGGCCGATGTAGGTCTTGGGGTGCCCCAGCTTGGTGGTGTCCTTGCGCATCGTGTGCACGCGGTAGTTCTGCATGATCTCGCCCTGGAAGAAGCGCGCGGACGCGATGCGCTCCTTCGGATCGGACTTGGCCGCCGCCTCGACGATCGAGCGGATATCGCCGCCCGCACACATCGAGCGGCCCTTGCCGCGGAACAGGACCGTCGCCGCGTTGGGCGACGGCTCGATCTCGTCGAACGCGTCGTGTATCAGCTCAATCATGTTCTCGTCGATGGCATTGAGCGCCTTTTCGCGGTTCAGCTGCACAATGCGCATCGTGCCCTCGGAGAGCAGCTGCACCGGCGAGTCCGCCTCGTGCAGCCGGGAGACCGGCGCAGCGGGGGTGGACATGTGGCGGGCCAGCAGAAAGGCACGTTGCGACACGGACGGGGCGTGCACGCGCGTCGAAGACAGCAGCGAGGCGCGGGCGACGCGGGACACGAGGACCATCGTCGTGGCAGGCCTGAGCGCCGTCGGCGGCCGACGGCCGGCGACAGCCGCTGACTCAGCCGGCCGGCGGCCGTCCGAGACCTGGCGCCGCGCCTCGGACACTGCTCCGACACGCCATGAGCTCGATCAAGGGGCCTCCTTCGGCGGACAAGCAGCTCCGCGCTCCCCCGGGGATGCGCATTGGCATTGTGCACGCGCGCTGGAACCAAGAGGTCATCGAGGCGCTCGTCTCTGGCACGCTCCAGTCGCTCTCCGACGTCGGCGTGCAGCCGCACCAGGTGATGATCGAGTCGGTGCCGGGCAGCTGGGAGCTGCCCTTTGCGACGATGCGCATGATTGAAAAGTACAACGTGAGCGCGGTCATTGCGATCGGCTGCGTCATCAAGGGCTCGACGATGCACTTCGAGTACATCTGCGAGAACTGCTTCCAGGGCCTCATGCGCGTGAGCCTCGACTCGAAGAAGCCGGTCATTCTCGGCGTGCTCAGCACGCTCACCGAGGACCAGGCCCTCGAGCGCGCGGGCATCGGCCGCAACGGCAAGCCCGGGCACAACCACGGCCTCGACTGGGGCCGGGCCGCCGTCGAAATGGTCATCAAGAACCAGGACGCGTAATCCCATAGCTACGGAGGCGACAAGAGGTTCTTGATGTTGTTCAGCATCTGGATGTCCCGCTGCACCGAGCCGGGCAGGTCGCGCTGCCGCTTCTGCAGGCGCTGCCGCTTGGGGCTCGCGCGCGCGCCGGGCGCCGCGCGCGAGTGGCGCGCCAGTGACCCGAACAGCGAGCCCGCCTCGGGGCTCGTCGCGCGCAGCGCGCGACTCACGTCTGCCGCCGGCGGCTCATCGATCCAGCGCGGCGTGCCAGGCAGCGGCGGCGGCGCATACTCGCCACGTCCGCCAGGGCGGCGCAGCGCCATGACCTGCATGCGCACCGAGCCCAGCGCGGGGTCCACGTCGGGGCGCGGCGGCGCACGCCGCGCGTTCGCCACGGTCGGCGCCATGTCGAGCCATGCGTGCAGCACACGGAAGTACGACTCGCCGCGCTGCGGCTGCACGCGCGTGTAGTCGACCATGTCGAGCCCGTGGCGGTGCTGCAGCGGCAGGTGGCCAATGTGGCCGCCGAGCGCCACGGCGAGCGCCGCGTCCGAGCCCATAAAGTAGCGCTGGCGCCGCGCGTCCTCGACGCGGTGCAGCGCGCGGCCGCGCACCGGCTCGTTGAGCAGGTACGTGTACACGCTGTCGGGCTGCGCATACTGCAGGCCCCGCAGCGGGTGCGCGGGCGCCGCATGCGCGGGCGCCGTCAGCGCATGGCTCTGCGGCGCCTCGAAGCGCGCGTGCGCGCGCGCCTCGAGGAAGTCGGCGGCGTTCCGCGGCGCGGGCGGGAGGCGCGCCTCGGTCCACATGTCGACGGCCGGCACCTCGCGCGGCGCCTGCGCGCTCTGCCACTCGGCCTCGCTCACCGGGCGCTGCGCCGCGGCCTGGGCGAGCTCGTCCATCTGCGCGGCGACCGTCGCCTGCTCGCGACGTGCCTGCAGCGCCGCGCGGAACTTGCCGCGCTGGCGGCGCAGCTGCGCGAGGAAGCGCTGGAACGTGCGCTCGTCCATCGCATGGTAGTTGGGCAGCGCGTCCGGCCGGTCCTGGAAGCGCTCGTGGTGTGCGCCCCACACGACGTTCGTGGGGAGCTTTTGCGCATCGGCGCACGTCGCGGGATCGTACGCGATGCGGGGCCGGGGGCCAAGCGCGTGGTTCACGTCGTCGTCGCCCAGCACACTCACGCCGAGCACGTCGCGGCGCGCGCGGTCCGCGAGGCGCGCGCCCGCCTCGTGCCAGCGCACGCGGAAGAGCGGCTCGCGCTCCGCCTCGGACCACTCGGTCAGGCCCTGTGCATTGTCCAGGGACTCGACGGTAGCGAACCGCAGCGCACCGGGGTACGGCACCTGCGCGCGGGCGTCCGCGCTCGTCTGCCACGACGACGGCAGTGGGCGTTTCAGGCCCCAGTCGCCACGCACCGCGTGCGCTTTGGGGGTCTGGTACACCTGGCGCACCGCCGGATCGAACGTGCTCAGGCGCGTGTGGCGCAGCAAGCGCGACAGCGCATGATTCGCAGACGCCATGGCGGCGAAGAAGCGGCGGCCGCCGGCGACGCGATGTAGTAGCACGTGATCACGAGCCCATTCGGCCGCGCGGCCGCGGCGCTGGTCTCTTCACCCGCTGCGCTGGCGGCCGTGAGGCCGTGGCCCCGGGGCGCCCGCTCCGGGGGCCGGTGCGGCGGGCAGAGCAACTTGGACTGTAAAACCATCGCCAGGAGGGCGCGCTTCCCGCCCCCATGATCCGGGGATGACCTAGTGTCCACACAGGTAGGTTCCGTGCCGAGAGTGGCGGGACGATCCACAGGGCGCTCGCGCCCCCGAGGCACGGCGCTGCGGTGCGCTGCGCGCTGTGCCCATGATGTGCCAAGTAAAAGGCGTGTCTGACCACGTACGGCTCCGTGCAGGCACTGACGCCAGCGCTCTATAGATTCGTAGACTACGCGAGACTACGCAGCCCCGTCGCGGGGCGCCCGACCTCGCTGATCTCGCTTACGCGGCACACCGAGCCGCGGAACTCGGGCAGGTACTTGGCGCCCGTCAGTGGGTCCTCGATGGCGTTCGCGCCGCCCGCCGGTAGCAGCGTGTGGCTGCCCGCACACACCACGTAGATCGGCTCGTGCACCGAGTACGCCGGCACAGGCACCGCGTCGCGCGGCTGGCGGTCCGAGAGCGCAATGATCTGCTGCGCCACCTGCAGCACCTTCGCCGGCGGCTGCAGATCGGCGAGGCGGCGCGCAAAGTGCCCGGCCATCGCGAGGTTCCCGACGCGGCGCGCCTCCATCATGGCAATCCGCAGCGCGAGCATCTGGTGCTGCGGCTGCATTTGCACGTGCGTGAACAGCGCGGCGAGCTCCAGGATCCGCGCGACGGGCGGTGCCTCCGACGCGGCGAGCTCGCGGCGCTCGCGCTCGATCGACACACCGATCAGGTACTCGCGGCACTCGGCCATCAGCTCCGCGAGGCGCGCCGCCTCCGCCTCGTCCGCGGCCGGCGTAAGCACGAGCTGGTGCAGGAGCGAGCGGAAGAGCGACTCGGCCTCGGGCAGCTTGTTCGCCGACACGGCGCGGTACGCGTCCGGCAGCACGTGCGACTCGAGGTGCGCGAGCGAGAGCGTACTGGCAGGGAGCACCTTGCCGAGGTCGCCCTCCGACGCCTCGTTGTTGCGCCGCAGGTGCACGAGCAGCGGCGGCGCGCCGGGCGCGCCGGGCACCACAGCGCGTGCCGCGACGTACGCGCGCCACAGCCACGGCTGCAGCGGCGCAAAGTGGACGATGCCGGCCTGGCGCTGCAGCAGCTGCAGCGCCATGTCGAACGCGCCGGCCGCAGCGAGGTCGGCGGCCACCGGCGAGTTGCGCAGCCAGTGCTCGTCCTCGGCACTGCCCGGCGCGAGGCCCTCGAGCGACGCCACATCGGTGAGCGGCGCCATGTGCTGGCCGAGCTCCTCCTCGGCCGGCGCCATGGCCGACTCGTCCAGGTCCCATGCCTCTTCGGCCTCGTTCAGATCGAGGGCGGGCGCCGCCGCCGACGCGTCGACGAGCGCCTCGTCGCCCTCGAGCCAGTCGTCGTCGTCCGCGGGCGCCTCAATCGCGTTGTCCTCGAAGATGACGCCGTCACTCGTGTTGGCCCGCAGCGCCTGGTCAAAGTAGTTCTCCTTCGCCTCTGTGAGCGGCCAGTCGTGCTGGTACGTCGGGAAGACGACCGGCGGCGGCCCACGCGCGGTCGGCGCAGGCGCGCCGAGCGCGGCCTGCGCCTCGGCGGGGTCGAGGCCCGCCTCGGCCGCGATCGCCTCGGCCAGCGCGGCGTCGCCGGCCCGCTGCGCCGTCAGGTACGCGAGCGCGCCGAGGCCGGCGCCGCGCAGCACCTGCACCTGCGCACCGGCGTCGCCGTGCAGCACCGCATTGTGGTACAGGCTCTGCATGTTGCCGCGGCGCTCCGCGATCGCGGTCATCTTGCCGAGCTTGTCGCGGCTGCCGGTGATCAGGTACAGCAGGCTCAGCTGGTCAAAGTCCTTCGTCTTCTGGTACGCGCGCTCGACCATGTGGTGCGCGCCCAGCTTGAGCGCCGCCTCGCCGAGGCGCTTCCAAATCTCGGGCACATTGATCGCCTCGGCCGTCTCCAGCGCGACCTCCAGGTTGCCGCACTCGACCGCGAGGTCGAAGCGCGTCGTCTTGTCCTGCACAAAGTGCAGCGCAATCTCGGGGAAGCCCTTCTTCTGCAGGTACGCAATGATCGACTGGCCCACGAGGCGCGACGCGCGGATGATGTGCAGCACCTCGTCGTAGCGCTTGTGGAGCAGCGCCAGCTTGAACTGGCACTCGGTCGGGTCAATCGTGATCGTGCGGGGGCACGCCTGGCGGTCCAGGCAGTACACCGTCGAGCCCTGGATGTACGTGAGGTACACGGGCTGCTCCAGCGTCTTGATGATGCCCGTGTCGCCCTGCGGCAGCGCATACTTGATGTGGTTCAGCGTGCTGTACAGCAGCACACCGTTGGCGTCCCACGCCGCGCTCTTGATCCGGATCGTCTCGTGGATCATGTGCGACTCGCTGAACTGCTTGTCGGTGAGCGTGATCGTGTGCTTGCTCAGCAGCGCGACACGCTGCGCGTCGGGGCTCCAGACCACGTACTTGACGGCGGGGCTCGCGAGCTCCGCCACGACCGCCTGCTGCTGCATGTCAAACAGCAGGACACTCGCCCCCGTGCTCAGCACAAGGTGCGACGGGCCGCCATAGAAGATGTCGTTCGTGGCGTGCGGCAGCTCCACCGTCTTGACCACCTGGTTCGACAGGTCGCGGATCTCGACCGTCTGCGTGGCTTTCTGCAGCACCGCCAGGCGGTTGCGCGCAATGAACAGCGCCGTCGTGCCCTGCCCGCGCTTGCCCACCGTCCCACTCTCGCCCAGCTCCGTCGGCGGCGTGTGCGGCAGTGGCGCCAGGTCGTACACGCCGGCGTCCCCGTTGAGCGAGGTGACGATCACGCTGCGCTCGGCCGGGTTGAAGCTCAGCGACCGCGGCTGCACGTACTGGTTGCCCAGGCGCCGAATGCTCAGCATCGCATGGTCCTTGCCCGTGCCGTAGTCGAGCGCGCGCACCTGCTTGTTGCGCACATAGTACAGCGTCTTGTTGTGCAGCGCGAACGGCGGGCGCTCGCGCTCGAGCTTGAACACGATCAGGCCGCTGTCGTGGCCCGCCGCAAACAGATTCAGGTGGGGGTGCGCCGTGAGCACCCAGAACCGGTCGTGCTCGCGCCGGAACGTCTGCACGGCCGTGCGCTTGCCCATGTCCCACACACGGATGGTCTTGTCCTCCGATACGGAGAGGATCAGCTCCGCGTGGGGGTGGAACAGCGCGGCCGACACGTTGTTGTAGTGCCCGCGGCACGTGTCGACCTCCCACGCCTTGGTGTCGGACATGCGCCACAGCTTGATCTGGCGGTCGTCGCTCGCCGACACGATGAGCGGGAGCGCGGGGTGGAACGACACCCAGTTCACGCCGCGCTCGTGGCCCTCGAGCACGTACTTGACCACAACATCCATATTCGCAAACAGGTCCATCTGCGCGCTGTTCACGCGCGCCATCTGCTCGTCGAAGCTCATCGGCTGCGCGGTCGTCGACTTCTGCTTCAGCGTCGTGTAGTCCCACACGCGCACCGTCTGGTCCATCGACGCGGACACGATCAGGTCCTCGTGCGGGTGGAACTGCGCACACATCACATAGTGGTTGTGGCCCGTCAGCACCGCGATACACGTGCGGCTCTGCCAGTTCCAGATACGGATCGTCTGGTCGTCTGACGCACTGATGATCCACGGGTGCTCGTGGTGGAAGAAGACGGTGCGCACGTAGTCCAGGTGGCCGTGCAGCGTGAACAGGATCTTGCCCGTCTTGTGGTTCCACACCTTCACCTTGTAGTCGTCACCGCCACTCACAAGCAGCGGCTGCGTCGGGTGGAACGACACACCACGCACAGGCCCCTCGTGGTCCTCGAGTCGCTCATAGATCGTGCCCGTCTGGTAGTTCCACAGCTGGATCGAGCCATTGTGCAGCGAGGCCGCCAGCAGCGGCAGCTTCTGGTGAAAGGCAATGCCCTTCACCCGGTTCGACTTGGACTCAAACTGCCGTTAGCCATACACGCACACACCTTGGTGAGCATCTGCATTTTGGCAGACACCTCAGGCAGCGTTCCGTCTATACAGACTTGCGCCGTGCACCTGGACGCCGTCGCGGGTCACGGCCGGCCCCCGACACGGCTGCGCTGGCGGACTATATCACGTGATACGACACGCGAGTGCGCGCGCCGCGCCGGCGTCCGCGCCGCGCGCCCCATGGCCCTGCACGACGTCGGCGCAGGGCCGCTGGAGATCGATGTACACACATTCTTTGAGGCGCAGCATGCGCACGAGTGGGGCGCGGTGCCTACGCAGCCCGGAGGGCATGTGCGTCGGCTCCGCGTCCTCCTGCTGGGCGCGCTCCTGCGGCACGTGCTCTGGGCGCAGGGGCAGGTCCCCAGGTACGTGAGCCACACTCACGCAGACCGGTCGCGCAGCTAGAGGGCGAGGTGTGCGGGATCATGGAGGCGGAGGGCCTCGACGGGCCTGCTACGTGCGTGGGCGTGGACACGGCGCCGGACCCGCCGCGGTTGCCGCGGGGCCACGCGCCGTGGCTGCGTGCCGCGCATGTCGTGCGTGCGTTGGCGCTCGTGACAGAGCGTCTGCATGCACTTTTGTGTGCGGTGTCGCTGTCTGATCTGTCTGTGGCGGTCGTGCTCGGGTCCTCGCTCCTCTTTCCCCAGTGGACCGCTATGGTGCGCCTCGAGGGCGGCTGGGACGCGTGCGCGAATGGGATCGATGACACGGACGAGTGCAGGGCGCGGCGGCGCAAGGCGGCGGCGCTGCTGGAGCGCAAGGTGACGCGCGGCCTGATGGAGGCGCTGCCCATGTCGACTTTGTCGGCGCCCACGCGCCTGCGCGTGCTGGTGCGGGCACCTGTGCACGTTCGCGTGGCTGGATGGCACCCGCGGCCGCACTGGACGGCGCCTGAGCCTGCGGCGCCGCAGGACGTGCGCGCGCCGGAGGCGGACGGTCCCGCGCCCGTGCGTGCCGCGCGCCCCTCGCGCATGGGCACGCAGGTGCAGGGCCTACTGCATCAGCGCCGTGCCACGCGCCCTACCCTTGCCCCGCACGCACGCCGCCGTGCGCGCGCGCCGGTTCTTGGCATCACGGTGCGTGGCGCCGCCGAGGCGGCCGCCGAGGGGGGGCGGGGGGCCACACGTGACGTGTGGTTCGAGTGCGACACGGACGTCCTTGGCCTGGGGCGTGACGTTCTTTTCTGATTGGCTCCCCTGTGTTTATGCCTGCGCGCAGGGACAGCGCTCCCTCCAGACCAGATGCATCGTGCGAGACAGGCTCGCTCGCTCGTGACGGCCGCCTGGGCGGTGGCATGTGCGCTCGCGCTCTTTGTGCCGTGCTGCATGGCAGCGAAGATCATTGCTGATACGTCGCTCAACGGCACATGGTCGTCGGGCACCGGCGCCGTGGTGACCGGCCAGTCGTTCTTCAACCTCGTGAACAACACCTTTAACATTCCCAAAAATGCAGGGCAGGCGTACAGCTTCACGATGACGTCTGACACGACGGGATACTGGGAGCAGGCGGTCTACCAGTACATGCGCCCGGACACGTCGAACCCGCGGTGCTTCAAGGCCCAGCTGCTCTGGCAGCACGGCAACTTTACCATCTACCCCAACGCGTCGCTCGTGCTCGATCCGTTTCGAGCGGATGGGCGGCAGCAGCTGTCGGACTCGTGTGGCGACGGCAACGACAAGGTCCAGTACTATGCGCAGCAGGAGATGATGCAAAGCTTCTACATCTCGAAGTACATCCACTACGACCAGCCCTCGTACAAGCTGCAGCTGTACGAGTTCGACGGCACGCCGAAGCCGCCCATGTACCTGGCGTTCCGGCCGCCCGAGATGTACCCCACCGAGGGCCTGCACAAATTCATGGTCGGTCTGATGTAATAATTGAGTATATACCCACCACCCTCTCCGTGCCGCCATGCGATGCAGCGTGGCCGTGTGCGCCGCGGCGTGCCTTGCGCTCGCTGCGGCCCCTGCGCGCGCCGCGCTCGAGTCGTTTGACGAGGCGCTGACGCTGAGCCCCCTCGTGGGAGGCCGTGTCCACGCCGCGTTTGCGTTCACGCTCGCGTCCGACCGTGGCTCGGTGCACCACTTCGGCAAGATGCCGCGCGCGCTCCTGCAGCCCGTGGCCTCGCTGGGCGTGCAGGACATGCACCTCTCGCTCGCCAAGGGGCGCTGGCTGTACAGCGAGTGGGGCTCGCCGGCCGCCGACGACGCCGGCGACGAGGCCGTGGCGAGCGGCGCCGAGGTGTGGGCCGCCATGTCCAACGACACGGACGTGTGGCCGCGCTGGCGCATGCTCATGTCGGCGCTCGCGAGTCTCTCGTGTGCGTCGCTCGACGCCGTCGACGAGGCGACGACCGTCCAGCCGCAGTGGCCGTACTTTGGGCCACAGCCCGTCCTGCACAGCTACCTGCCGTCGGAGAGCGTGTGCACAGAGAACCTGTCGCCCCTGCTCAAGCTGCTCCCGTGCAAGGGCGGCGCGGGCCTCGCGAGCCTCCTGAGGCCGCATGCGCTCCTCGGGGCCGAGTTCCACAGCATCGGGCTGCGTGCGACGCAGGCGCAGGGCGGATGGACCGTGCAGCTGCGCGTGCAGATGGTGGCGCGCCCGCCGTCGGTGAACGATACGGCATGGACTCTGCGCGACCTGTTCGGCACGGCGCTCACGACGACGTGCCCGGCCGCGTCGACGAGCCACATCCGCGTGCTGAGCGGCACGCCGCCGCTGCCGCCCGTGGCGCCTGCCGTGGCCGACGACGACGACGACGACGACGAGCCACTGCCGCGCACCGGCGCGCTCGCAGCGTACACGGCGCCGCAGGCCACGTACCTGTACGACACGCGCTCGCTCGCCGACTACGGCGACGCGCTCAACGTCGAGCTCGTGGCGCCCGCCTCCCGGTCGCTCGCGCGGGTGCCGCCGCTGCATGCGGCGCGCCAGGTGCTGGGGTACGGCCAGGAGCGCAACACGGTGCGCGTGATTCTGCGCAACACGCTGCCGGGCGAGACGGTGAGCGTCGTCTACTACGAGCATGTGCCGCGGATGGTGCGCCCGCTGCTGCACACGCTGCGCACGCAGGTGCAGCTGCACGAGTACGACGAGCGCGACGACCTCGTGCGGTACAGGGACGACGTGGATCTGCCGTTCCTAGAGAACGCATCGTATGTGCCGGCGGAGGTGCGCCGGCGCAGCGGCTCGCTGGAGCTTGTGCTGCGTGTGCCTGCGCTGAGCACGCTCACGCTCACGTACACGCTGGAGAAGCACATGCTGCACTACAACGAGCACATGCCCGACTCGCACCGCGGGATCGACCTGCCGCCCGCGCTGTTCCTCCCGCTCCACGGCGCGCGCCCGTGGGCCGACGTGCACCGCGGGCTCGACGTGCACCGCGTGCAGGCGTCGCGCATGTACACGGAGCCGAGCCTCCTGGACATGGCCGTCCCGGACTTTTCGATGCCCTACAATGTCATTCTGTTCTACTCGACGTTTGTGGCGCTGTTCTTCGGGAGCCTCCTCAACCTCCTCGTCCGCCGGTACCGCGATGTCTACCGGCAGGGCGACGAGCGCCCTACGTCGCATACGACTCGGTGAACAGGTTCGCATGCGCACTCGCATCGCCGTGCCAGGCGCGGCGCACATGCACGTGGCGCGACACGACGTTGCGCAGGAGCGCCAGGAGACCGGCGGGGCCGCAGCCCACCGCGATCGTGCGGCCTTGCGCCTGGCCCATCTCCGTGCCGACAATCTCGTCGAGCGGGGGGTAGCCGGCCCGCGTCATCTCGGAGAGGATATCAAAGTCTTGCAGTTCGTGTACGTCCAGGTTCGCATAGGTCGGCACGGGCGCCTCGGACTTTTCCGGCGCCTCGGGCGCCGCGGGCACCGCGGGCGCCTCGCCCGGCGCCGCCGCCGGGGTCGGCACCCGATCCGCCGGTGCCATCGGCACCATCGGGTAGGTATCAGGCGGATCGGTGGGTAGGGTAAAGTACTCGTTGTACACCGACGTGGGGCTCGCGTCGGGGCCCGGCGTGGCGGCGGACGGCGTCGCGTCGGGCACGCTCAGCATCTGCCGTGCGAGGTCCTCGTCGGCCTGCTCGTTCGCGTGCTGCGCCGTGAACGAGTCGTCGCCNCATCTCGTTCATCGTCTGGTCAACGAGCGTGAGCGGCCCGTCCTCGTCCGGCCCGAACTGCACGAGATCGTTCGCGTCGAGGCCCATCGACGCGAGCGTCCGCTCGCCGCTTTGTGCGGGCGGCAAGCCCCCGTCATGCACGTTCGACGCAGAGCGGTTGTGCCCCCGCGTCACGTAGATCTCGATGCGCAGATTCGCGGGCGGCAGGATCTCCAGGCACAGACGCAGCGCGCTCGCGGCCCACTGCAGGTGCGCGTACTCGCGCATCACCCACACGAAGCGCACGCGGCGCGTGAGGAACGGCCGCTGGTAGAGGCCGCGCACCCGCTCGCCACGCAGGGCCCGCGCGATCTTGCGGCAGAGGTAGTCGAGGATCGAGAGGCCGAGCGAGACGCCGGAGCCACCGCACACGAGGAGCACCGTGGCGTGCGCGCCCCAGTCGATGCGCGCCGCGTCGCCGAACGGGCCGTCGACGATGGCGCGCATGTACACGCCCTGCACCTGGCTCGCGACGGCGCCGCCGTGCAGGAGCGGGAACATGGACGGCGCGCCGCCGGGCTGCGACGCGGCCAGGGCCGCCTGCGCCTCGCAGCGGCGCTGCACGTCGAGCCACAGGCGGTGGGTGAGGCCGGCGCGCGCGCGGATGAGCAGCACGATCAGCTGGTCGTTGTCGACGGCGTCCGGCGCATCCACGTCGGCGGGCACGTAGCCGTGCTGCGCGTCGCGCACGTACGAGCCTGCGATCGTGAAGGGATGCGTCTGTACCCAGCTGAGGCTCGGCAGCTGCAGGAACAGCCACTGGCCCGGGCGCCACGGCATCGGGCGGCTCGTGCGCAGCACGAGCCGCATCATCTGGCCGGACAGCGGCTGCACAAACGCAAAGCCGGGGAACAGCTGGCCCCGCAGCGCGTCGGAGACGACGGGGCGGAACGGGATCGGCACCACGGCGCCCGCCGGCATCGTCTGCGGCGTCGTCGTGCGCGACATGTCCGCGGACTCGAGCATGCTCGAGAGGTCCTGCTCGCTCTTGCTCGTCAGCGAGAAGGCCGATGCATTGGCGTGCGTCACCTGCTGGTACTCGGCCATGCTGCGCTTGAGCTCCGGCGGGCGCTCGCTGTAGTTGAAGTAGATGACGCGCACGAGGCGCCACGCGCGCTCGGCGCCCCACACGACAAAGCCCGCGAGCATCCAGCCGCCGAGCTGGGGGTGGTGCGCCCACGTGCCGACCATGAACCCGATCGCGCACACGAGGTGCGTGATGTAGAAGAACTCGTAGTGGGTGCGGCGGATCGGCTCGAGCGAGAGCACAACGAGAAGGGTGAGGAAGATGTACGCGGTGATGGCCCAGCGGAAGCGGGGCACGGCGAGCAGGTGGGTCCACAGGTCCGGCTTGGCCGCGGTGTCGCGGTGGACCTGGACCGCCCACAGGACCGTGTGCAGCGACGCGTACAGCCAGAGCAGGCGCCCGCCCCAGCGGTGCAGGAATGCGAGCGAGTTGGACGCATAGCGCCCAAACACGGGCAGCGAGAGGAGCGCGATCGGCGCCTGCTTCAGCGCAAAGAGGATGACCATGGGCGTGAGCGCGTTGCAAAAGTCGCCGAAGCGGCTGCCCATCGTCCAGAACGTGTGGTACGGCAGCGTGTATGTTGCCTTGTTCGTCATGATGCGGGGGTAGTCGCCGCGGCCCCACTGCACGAGGCGGCGCGCGAGCGCGGCGTGCGCGGCCTGCACCTCGGCCTGGCTCGGGAAGTACGTGTTCGAGAACAGCCCGGCCTTCGGGTCAATGTAGTCCGCACCGATCAGCGTCAGCAGGAGCAGCGGGATGAACAGGAGCAGAAGCATCATGACATGGTTCGCACGCAGCGACACCATCGTGATGCGGTACAGGCGCTGCTGCACCGCGCGCAGCGTGCTGTTGCCGGTGCGCCCGGCGGGCGGCACATAGTGCATCGTCGACCACTTGGTCCACAGCGCGCCGATCCACGTGCGCTGCGTCACGCCGACGAGGTGCTCGACGCCCAGGAGCACCACAAAGCACGCAAAGAGGATCCACAGGATGTACACGTAGCGCTCCGACGGCGCACTCAGCTCGTGCGCATCCAAATACGACATCGCGTACACCGTCAATGGCTCCGTCGGCGCCGGCGTCGCCGCACGCGCGGCCCACGTCGCGCGCATCGCAGACGTAACACACAACGACGCTCGGCCCCAGTGGCGCCACTCGCCGCGCCCTGGCCCAGGGCGCCTCGGCGCCCAGGCGTGTCACGTGGGGACGAACTTTTTTTTCGGGCGGCCGCGGCACGCGACTTGGCACGGCGATGGCGGAGGCAGCCAGCGTTGCGGAGCGCCGTGCGGGCCTCGAGCAGGCCCTCGCGCGCATCCGCCACCACACGACATCCAAGCTGGAGAACCAGCGCGCGCCTGCGCAGCTGCTCGCCGCGATCGAGGCGACACTCGCGGAGCGCGCGGCCGCCGACGCCACCGAGGAGGCGGGCGGACCGACCGCCTACCTCCTCGCACTCGAGAGCCTGCTCGGCGCCGAGTCGGTCACACCGGATGTGCACGCATCCGCCGTGTACCTGCTCGCAACCGTGCTGCCGCACGTCGCGCCGGGCGTCGTGCGTGCCAAGAGCGTGGCACTGCTGAGCGCCGTCGCTGCGCCACTCGCCGAGCCGCACGGCGCCAGCGAGCACATGAACGCGCGCATCCGCGCGGCGCTCGGCGTCGTCGAGGCGCTCCTCGAGCATGTGCCGCCGCACGACCGCACGACGCTCGAGCGCGAGCGCACGTGGACGACGGTGTGGGACCTCGTGCTGGCGCTGTGCATCGACGCGCGCCCGAAGGTGCGCCGCCGCGCGCACGAGCTCGTCGCGCATGTGCTGGGCCTCCCCGCATGGAAGCACAACCACCCGTACGCCGCGCGCACGATGCGCTGGGCGGCGCAGACGCTCGAGCGCGTCGCGGCCGCGCGCGGCGTGGCCTCGACCAAGACACGCATCGACTACGACAAGAAGAGCGGGCAGGCGAAGAATGCCAAGCGCGCCGCGCTCGAGCGCCAGCAGAGCGCCGCCGACGGCGCAGCGAGCACGGGCATCTGGGTGTCGGCGCTCCTGCAGATGCTCGTCCCCTTCGTGCCCGTGGACGCCACGGCGCCGCTCGTGCCCGCGCTGCTCGCGCTGCCCGCGCTGTCGAACCCGTTCCTGACGCTCGCCGTGTACGACGTCTTCGCCGCGCTCTTCCGCGCGCCCGTGCAGAGGAGCGCGCTCGACGCCATCGACGAGGCGCCGCGGCGCGACGCTACCCTCGTGCGCCAGACGATTCAGGCCCTGCGCGAGCCGGCGCATGTGCCCGCGCACACCGACGTGCAGACGCTCCCCGCGTACCTGCGCGTGCTCGAGTCGTGCATGGTCGCCTACTCGGCGGCCGATCCGGCGGCCGCGTGGGCCGCGACGCCCGCGCTGTGGGCGGACGTGCTGCACGTCGGCCTGTCGGCGCACTCGGACGCGGCGCGTGCGTCGGCGGACGTGCGCCTGGCCGCGCGCTCGCTGCTCCAGGGCCTCGCGCGCTACTGCGTCACGGACGCGGCCGTGGCCGCGGCGCTGGACGGGGCGTCGGCGCCGCTCTCGACGCTGATCGCGTCTCTGCGCGACGCGCTCGGCGCGCATGCGCTCACGTACACACAGGCGCGCGGGGACGTGCTGCAGGTGCTCGCGAGCCTCGTGACGCGGCTGCGCGTGCCGCTCGAGGCCGGCGCGGCGCCGCCGGCCGTGCCGCTGCTCCTCGACACGGTCGAGCAGGTCGCCGCGCTGCGCACGCAGCGGCACTTTGACGCGCGCGCGGAGGCGGATGCTGTGCTGGGCGCGGCGATCGCCGCGTGCGGGCCGCGCGCGGTGCTCGCGCGCCTGCCGCTGCAGCTGCTCGACGGGGGCCGCCCTGCGACGCATGGACGAGGCCGTGCGTGGCTGCTGCCGCTGCTGCGCGCGCACACGACGAACACGGAGCTCGCGCACTTTGTGGACGAGTTTGTGCCGCTGAGTGAGGCGCTCTTCGAGCTGCGCGTGCAGGCGGAGCAGCCGTCGGACGGCAGCGCGGCGCGCCCGGTGGAAGCCAAGGTGATGGAGGCGCTGATCGAGCAGATCTGGGCGTGCTTCCCGGGCTACTGCGACCTGGCGCGCGACGTGGACGTGGCGCTGACGCCGGCGGTGCTCGAGCTGCTCGTGCAGGTGCTGCGCACGCAGCGCGCGCTGCGCCCGGCGGTGCTGCAGGGTCTCGCGCTGCTGGTGCAGCGCACCGAGTCGCTGATCGCCTCGCATGCGCCGCCTGCGCAGCTGCGGCGCGAGGTCGGCGTGGACCAGGCGGACGGGCAGCGCTTCCTCGCGCACCTGCGGCAGCTGGCCGCGCCGCTGCTCGCCGCGCTCTTCCAGCTGCTGGCCGAGCTGCCGTCGCAGGCGCGCGGCCCGGTGATGGAGTGCATGGGCGTGTATCTGGCGATCCTCGATGCGCCGAGCGTCGCCGCGGCGTTTGGCCAGGTGCGTGCGATGCTCGAGCAGTCGCTGCAGACGTACGTGCCGTCGGCGCCTGCGCCTGGGCAGCCCGAGGCGAACAGTCCGCGGTACGTGCCGCCGGTGCCGCACACGATGCTGGACCTGTGCGTGGCGCTCGTGCCGTACGTGCGTGGCGCCGAGGCGCGCGCGCTCTTTGATCTGGCGTCGAGCGTGCTGCCCAAGGCCGACGGCGGCCTGCAGAAGAAGGCGTACCGCGTGCTCGGCCGCCTCCTGCGGGGCAGCGAGGCGCCGGCGCTGCGCGCGCACTATGGCGTGTCGGCGCTCCTGCGGGCGTGGGCCGCGCTCGACGTGCAGCCGGGCGCGGTGCGCGACCGGCTGCAGCTGCTCGAGGCGCTCGTGGCGCATGTGCCGCCGGCCGAGCTCGGTGTGCTCAGCGCGCTGGTGCCCGAGGCGGTGCTGGGGACGAAGGAGGCGAACCAGGGCGCGCGCGGCGCGGCGTACGAGCTGCTCGTGCAGATGGGCCACCGCCTGCAGGCGGGCGGTACGATCGACCGGGCGCAGGCGGGCGTCGCGGACGGCGTCGTCGAGGCGTCTGCGAACGAGTTCGTGATGATGGTCGTCGCGGGCCTGGCCGGCGCGAGCCCGCACATGATGGGCGCGACGATCGCGGCGCTCGCGCGTCTGCTGTACGAGTTTGCCGCGGTGCTGCCGGCCGAGACGGTGTCGGAGCTGCTGGCGACGATGCTCGTGTTCCTCGAGAGCACGAACCGCGAGATCATCAAGGGCGCGCTGGGCTTCTGCAAGGTCGCGCTCGTCGTGCTGCCGCCGGCGTCGGTCGAGGCGGCGCTGCCGACGCTCGTGCCCGCGCTGATGCAGGTGCAGAACGTGCACAAGAACCACTTCAAGGGGCGTGTGCGCCACATGCTCGAGCGCCTCTTGCGCCGGTATGGCGAGGCGGCGGTGCGCGCGCACGTCGGCGAGGAGCACCAGCGGCTGATCACGCATATCCGCAAGCGCAAGGAGCGCGCGCGGCGCCGCCGCGCGCAGGAGGCCGACGAGGCGGCGACCGAGGCGGCCAAGCCGCGTGATCTCGGCACCGACGCGTTCGAGGAGGCGCTGTACGGCAGTGCGTCCGAGTCGGACGACGAGCCGGACGACGAGCCGGCGGCGCGCCCGCGGCGCGCGCGCCAGCGCCACCGCGAGGACGACACGTACCTCGTGGAAGACGACGACATGCCGGTGGACCTGCTGGGCGAGCAGGCGACGACGGTGCGTCCGCGCGCGCGCGCGGCGCGGCGGCAGCCGGGCGAGGAGGCGCGGACGTTTGAGACGGACGAGGCGGGGCGTCTGCGCATCCCCGGCGACGAGGCGGCGGCGGAGGCGGCGGCGCCGGCCGACGACGTGGACGCGCAGGCGGGCGACGCGTACCTGGCCAAGTCGCGGGGTGTGGACGGCTATACGGTGGGCCGCGGCGGCGCGGTGAAGTTCAACAAGAACACGAAGCGGACGCGCGCGAGCGAGCGCGAGGACGACGACGACGAGGCGCCCGCGCCGAGCGAAGCGCGCCGCCGGCCGAAGCGCAGCAAGCAGGCGATCGGTGCCGAGTTCAAGGCGCGCCGTGCGCAGGGCGACGTGCAGAAGGGCGGCATGAGCCCGTACGCGTATGTGCCGCTGTCGTCTGTGACCGGGAAGAAGAAGGCGAAGCAGGCCTCGAAGCTGGCGATCACCGGCAAGCGCATGTAGCCTACTTACTCTTCTACAATGTCGCTCTTGCGAGGCTTCTTTGAGGAGAGCAGCTTGGAGCTCTCGTGCTGGATGTCCTTGACCTCGCCGCCGTAGCTGGCCTCGAGCGTGCTGTCCATGCCGGCCAGCTCGAGCACGTCGTTGAGGGGCACGAGGCCGTCGAGGTCGACGTCGAGCTTGTCGACGAGCTTCTGGAGCATCTCCTCGTCGGGGCGGTGGCGGATCAGGCGCAGCGCCTGCTCGAGGTCGTCGACGCTGATCTTCCCGGTCGGGCTCGCCTCGATCAGGTGCATGCGGCCGCCGACGTCCTTGTCAAACTCCTCGAGCTGCTTGTCGATGCGCTGGAGCATCGAGCGCACGCGGCGGTACAGGCTCTTTGCCTTGGGCGAGCCGTCGTCGGCGCCCGCGTCGTCGGGCGGCAGCTCGCTCATCAGCTCCGAGAGCTCCTGGCGCTCGCGCAGCACGGACGACTTGGCGCTGAGGATTGCGAGCGCCTCGCCGAGCTCGCTCAGCTGCTCCTCGGTCATGCGCGCATCGTCTACGCGCGTCTTGGCCGCCGTCGGCAGGATGCGCGTCGCCTCGACCGTCTCGGCGTCCTTGCGCGAGCGCTCGGCATCGCGCGCCGCCTGCACCTCCTCCTCCTGCTCGGCCTCGTCCTCGATGAGCTCCTCCTGCTCCTGGAGCACCTCGAGACGCTGCTTGTTCGTCGCGGCGTCCTTGCTAAAGTGCAGCTCGGCCTCGTTCAGCAGCTTGTCGGGCAGCGAGCTCATCGTCAGCTCGAGGCCCTTGATCTGCATGTCCTGGTACGTCGCGTTCGCGTCCTCCGGCTCGCCGACAAAGTAGAACGCGCGGCTGAGGATCAGCAGCGTGCCGCTGATGCGCTCCTTGACGTGCAGGTTGATCCACACGTCGAGACCCTCCTTGAGCTGCTCACGCGAGCGGTTGTGCGTCCACACGCCGCGGCTCTGGCACGCGACGAGCAGCTCGACGTACGACATCGCGTCCGTGCCCTCGTCGCGGATCACCAGGTCGTCCTGCCGGATGCGGTTCAGCGCATGCCGCACCTGGAAGCGCAGGTAGTTGTCCGTGCCGAACGCGGTCATCTGCATGTACCGGCAGATCGACACCAGCTGCGGGCGCGTCAGGTTGTCGAGCGTCAGGTCGTCGTCAAACAGCTTCGCCACCCGGATCACATCCTCCTTCGTCGGGTGCTGCCCGATGCGCACCTTGTGGAAGAACTCCTGGAACGCGTCCGAGTCCTTCACCGAGTCGGACACCTGCAGGCCGCCGGCCTTGATCGACTCCTGCAGGAACTTGGCCATCTCAAGGCGCAGCTTCAGCAGGCGCCGCCGCTTCTCCTCCACGGTAAACTTGCTCTCGAACGTGCTCGGCAGCATGTTCGGGAAGAGCTTCAGCGCCACCGGGAGCAGCAGCTCGGCCGCCGGGATAATCACGAACGGGATAAACGGGATCAGGCGCAGCAGATCGCCCATCGTGCGGCGCAGCTGCCGGTGCTCACGGCGCGTCAGCGTGTACCCGAGGATCATGCGGCGCAGCAGCCGCGTCGAGATCGCGAGCTCCTTGCCGAGCAGCTTCGTGCCGTGCCAGTAGTGCAGCACCTCCTCCTTCACCTTGTTCCAGACACGCACAGGCATCGACGGCTTGGGCCCGTCACTCGGCGCCACGTCGCCGCCCTTCTTCCCGGACGACGGCTGCGCGACGGCGCGCGTCGTCGTCAGCGGACGCCACGCAGCCGCACTGCGCGGCGCGACGGCCGGGCCCACACACAGCGCCACGGGGCGCACATAGGCACCGACTCGTAGCCGCGGCAGCGCCGCCTCTGAACGCACGAGTCGAGACACCCACCGAGTCGACATGCCGCGACGGAACCACGGCGGGGCGGCGCTGGCGCCGCCCCCCCCCGCCTCACGTGCACGGCCCTGCCCTGGTCGCCACGTGTTTTTTTTGCGCTGCCCCCTACGATGCAGGACGGCGACGCGGCGCTAGGCGCGCCGGCCGCAGGGCCGGCGACGGTGCCGATCCGCCTGCGCACCTCCCTGCCGGGCTGCTCGATTCCGTATGTGCCGTACATGGTGCCTGTGACGTGGCGCCGCTCGCAGCTGTCGACGCTCGTCAACAAGGTGCTGGCCACCGCCGCCACGGGCGAGGCCCCGGCGCCGGTGCCGTTCGACTTTATCGTGAACGGCGAGCTGCTGCGCACGAGTCTGGAGGAGTACCTCGCGGCGAACGCGGGCAGCGCCGAGACGACGCTCGAGCTCGAGTACATCCGCAGCACGCTGCCGCCGGCCTTCCGCGACGCCGCACGCCAGGACGACTGGGTCGCCTCGGTCGATGCCGCGTGCGGCGACTCGCTGCTCACCGCCTCGTACGACGGCCTCGTGCGCGTGTACGACGCGGCCCACCTCGCCGCCGAGCCGACCGCGTACCTCCCCGCGTACGGCGAGCACGTGTCGCTGACGTGCGCCCGGTGGCTCACGCCGCGCGGCGACGCGGTGGCGACGGGCAGCATGGACGGCACGGTGGCCGTGTGGCGCTGCCCGGACGCGCCGTCGAAGAGCGTGCCGGTGGGCACGGCCGCCCTCCTGCCGCACCACGGCGCGCCTGTCTCGTCGCTCGACGTCGCGCCGCAGGGCGACCGCGTCGCGCTGCTGAGCGCGGGCTGGGACGGCACGATCGCGCTCTGGGACGTGCCGCACGACGCGCGCTTCCCGACGCAGGCCGCGGCCGCGGCCGGCCCCAAGAAGCGCCGCGGCGCGCAG